TTTCTGCTGTTGGTAACCAGATTAGGAAAGACTAAACATGGCAACTTACTTGTCAACACATGTTCAGTAATATTGTGTAAATTTCAAGAAATAAATACGTGTGCAAATAAAGTTCTTGTTGATTAGCATGAATTTTCAAAATAAAGATTTTATGTTATTTTTCTATTTTCTGCTGTTGGTAACCAGGTGAGGAAAGTCTAGACATGCCAACTCAAATGTCAGCAGATGTTCAGTAATATTGTGTAACTATATGCAGCTTTAGTAAGAGTAAAATTTAAACAATGTTATCAACTCAAGACTAATCCTATACACACATTTGCACAGGTTCAGTTTTGGACATCAGAGCTGGAGAAAATGCAGAAACGCCATGAGGGACAACCAAAGCATGTAAAACAAGGCAGCTTAAGTTCTTCCTCATCAAATTCAACAGTAAGCTCCATTGCAAGCAAGTATGATGTGAATCAACTCAAGAAGGAGATATCTCAAGCCAAGTCCAGGGTATGCAATAATACTCCAGACATTTTGTTTTGGTTGATCTTGGGAAAGGCAGCATGAAACAGGCCTCAGGAATGATGCTGTAGTTTCACTCATGAGATATACAAACAAGGCATTTTTACACAGGAATGTAGCTTAAGAGCTGGCTAATTTCACCAGCTAGAAGAGAGATTATCACCAGCTGAAATTTACCAGTAAACAAAACCTTGTGGTGATTTTAAAGGTGTGCAGCCCAGAAAAGCCAGGCGAGCTTGTTTTTATGACCTGGCTTAGTTTTAGCTACGTGTGCATCCCTGTTTACAAGACAAATTTGATCCCTGCTTCTGGATTATTGAAACTTCCATGTGTTATCATCTCTGGGCAACATTTATGAGATTTTATTGTAAAATTGCTTGTCAAATGACTATTACAGGTCAACTTGTTAACCTCAAACTTTTGGTAATTTAGGTAGCAGAGTGAGACTACATGTACATGTTAAAGCTATATTGAATTTTATATTTAATATTCAGAACACAATGTTCAGTTTCACCAACTATCTCAACTATGGGAAATAAAAAAAGTTTTCAAAGTTGTTCAGCTTTTGTGACACATTTACTGCTTTCTCAGGTTGAAGAACTCAAAACAGAAATGGATGTTGTTTCGGGTGAAGTTCAAGCGCAGGAAGAAGGCTACGAAAAACTTAAAAAAGTTGACCGAAAATTGTCTTCCCATCGTGGATGCAAAAAGGAGGATGTACAAGTTTTAGTAGAGGAGATACAAAGCATGCAAAGAACATTGTTTGTCAAAGAACAAGAGAAAAATGATCTGATACAAGCCTTGCTGAGACTCAAGGATAAGTTGTCACAACCTGATTCTTCAAATGAGGTGCGTAGTGGAGATTCTCTGATGCATGTGGGTATAATGTTAGCATCAATAGACAAGTGGTCACTGCTAACCTCTTTGGGTTGGCTTACGTTTGGCACATGACACCTGGGCCTAGTTTTTTGAAGGCTGGATAAAGCTATCTACCAGATAAACTGCTAGCCAGTGGATAAGTGTTACTATATCAAAACAAACCATGCTTACCCGCTGGATAGTGAGTTATCTGGTAGACAGCATTATCCTCCTTTCGAGCAATCCGGGCATGGGGTTTTGCAAGTTAACTGAAAGTAGTTTGCTGTTGGCCCTTGCTTTCCAGTAATGGTTCTCTTGAGATTCTCTAGTTTTCCACCATGAAATGAGCTGTTCAAAGTTCAAATTTGTTCAGTACATTTACATGTTTACCAGAAAATCAGTTAAACCTGTCTTGGCTGTAGTCTTTGGCTGATATTTTGATTAATCATTAATTAATGAATCAATTAATTAGTGGTATCAGAAATTAAATTGATTTAGCACTCTATTAATCTCAATAATGCAATTATTTCGTTTCAGTTATTTAATGAATTTATATGTTTGTTAAATTTATTTACCTACTTCTGTTTATATATGTGTGTATGTTTGCTTCAAGTCAACGTCTATCAGTTGATGACTCTCTTTGTTTTTGCCTCCACTGGAATATTTTGATGTTTTAAGGAAAAATAACATGTCAGCTGCATAATAGATGGAACGGAAAATTTAAATCAATGATGTTGTTGATGTAAAGAAAAGCAAATAATATCAAAAAGGTTTTTCGCTCGGACATAACAGGCAAAGTGTTTTTTCCTGTGGTCAAAAGGCATTTCCTTTTCATTCCTAAGGATTAAAAATAATCTAGATTGATGATAATCTCTTAATCGGCTATTAAATGAGCTTAAATTTAATTAAGATGGACAAAAATACTTGTTGAACAAAACAGGGACAACGCAATTCATGTAAATGGAAGTTGAGACAGCCATTAGCATTGTATATGAGGTTATAATGCAATCTGCTGTAAGCCAACTTAATTTGTCAACTGAGTTCATTGAAATTGGATGAGGGGATATAAAACACTTTCATTTAATTGATATATTTTGTATGTTGACTTTGACTTCTAACAAGTTTAATTTTCTGGTGCAGCTGTTTTTTATTATTATTGATGTAAGAACGATGTCAACAGCTTCATGTTAATAATAACCAAATATTCCATAGAATTGAGCTTAATTTGATAAGCTTATTTTACCAACACCTTAATTAACCTCGAACTTATTTGAAAAAAAAA